TTTTTCTTTTTCCTTTTTGCTTGTTTTCTAGTGTTGTTTCGCTTTTGTTATATCTGTTTTTTTATTTGTTTCGTTTGTTTGTTTATTTGTTTTGCTTTTTCCTTTTTTTGTTTTAATCTTGGTTTGTTTTTAGTGTTGTTTCGCTTTTGTTACATTTTCAGCATCTTCTTTAATCTTTTTTTATCTTTTTTTCATCTTTTTGCAAATCTTGACTTGACGATTTGTTCCTTGACAAAACCTTAATGATCTTACTTTTTYYTAAATTAGCGRTCTGATGACTTTATAGTACACCTTAATTTCCTCTTTATTCTATTTGAAAATGAAGCCTACTCCTTCAAATTTTAAAACTAATTTTCTTACTGACAATTTGGAAATAATTTAATCTTGTAATATAAGCTGTTGAACAYTAAAATTTGAAATAAAGTTGTTGTGTAAAAATATATTCTCGTATTGATGTCTCTATTTAGGCTCAGCTGGCTAAACGAGGAAACATGTTTCCTTTAATGGTTCCAAAATTGTCAAAACGTTTTGCAAATTTCATCACCATGACGACATGACGTAACTTGATTCGCAGAATAGTTTATGAAACAAGAAGTGTAATTTGCTGTAATTTGCAAAAGTCATAGAAATATTCGCCAAGTAAAGAGGCAGGGGCGCATCCAGGGGAGGGGTGCAGGCGGGTGCGCACCCCTCCCTGGTTCAACTTTGTGCCCTAACTTCGAAGATAACCAATACTGTTTTTTCCCTTTGATTCTAAGGGGTGCACCCCTCCCTGAACAAAATCCTGGATCCGCCCCTGAGAGGGTGCCAATGGGGATACGCCATCGTCAGTGAACTACTATCTTTGGCCAGTCGACTACTAACCCCATTGATATAGACATGTGAATAATTATCCAAGGTGTTACAAAAAAGTCTCTATCATTGCAAGCTCACGGCTACCTTTCAAGATGGCACAGGAACTTTGAAAGGGACTATTTGCAAAAATAAAACATCTATCGAACTTAGGAATTTTTTCATCCGTGTTAAGGATCGGACCATGAGATGATAAAATATGTCAGGTTCACAGTAGAGAGCATACCATATATCCGTGAAAACTTTGTAAGAAACGAAAATGCACAATGAGTAAGTTCAGTAGACCTCAGTAGACCATAGACCTACAAAACTTTGCACTAATTTGTACAATTTTAGTAAGCTAAGTAGACCTCAGGAGGCCTCAGTAGAGTGACCACAGTGAATCCGTGAAACTTTAGTAATACTAAATAGCACAATTTCATGCAAATTCCATTGTTTTCTATTGTTTAACTAGCACTATTTTGTACTATTTAGTAATTAGTGTTTCACGGATTTACTGTGGTCACTCTAAAGAATATTCAAATATCTCTTACAAATCTTTAAGTATTTTGAACTAGCAGTCAAAAGAAAGATTTTTGTATGTTCACTCAGCCATTGCCAACAATAGTAAAACAATTGTAAACAAAGGATTGTGCACGGTCACGCTCGAAAAAAGTGAACAAACACCTATAACAATAGGTTTCATAGAGTGCTTTTAGTCTCACTGTTGAATAGTAAATAACTTATCTAATTTAGTTGACGTCACCTATTCAACAGTGAGACTAAAAGCACTCTAACCATTCCCTCTATTAACTATGCTCAAAATGTCGACCACAATGGCCTCCAATGCGGGCTAAGATGGGTTTTGCCGCTCAAGAAACGTACGTACTGCGCACTCGATTATCACTAGTGTCAACAAATATCCATATTTACAAGTATGTTTGCTTAAGGTCAGATTTTCTGACCAATCGATGACCTACTTAAAGGTATATATTTGTAATATATACAATATGAGTGGCCGTGTTCTATCAGATATACGACCACGAGCCGAAGGCGAGTGATTGTTTAAATTGAATTTGGCTAAGAAAATTGGAGTTAAAGTTTATGCAAATCAGGACGAATTTGTATCAGATATACAACCTCCTCCACGGACAATGGTTTCTATTGTGTTTTCCTCATTAATTGTTCATGAGTTTTATGAGGTCGGCTTAAAAGCAATCGGACGTATGTAACGGGCAGTACTCTTAACCTTAAACTTCGACTTCTCTATTCTCTTTCAACTGGTTAATTCTTCTCGAAAATCCCATTGTGAAAATGACGAAAACGTTTTTGACGTTGCTGCTGGTCGCAGCCATAGCAAGTTGTTCAGTCAATGCTGTCATCAAGAAGCAACCACACAAGAAAGTCCTGATTCTTGGTGCTGGTCTCTCTGGGATTATTGCTGGTAAAACTTTGATGGACAATGGAGTCGATGACTTTCTGATCCTTGAAGGACAGGACTACATTGGAGGCAGGATAAAACAGGTCGGTTTGTACTTATACTGACTCTTACTTCTTGTGAACAAATTTCTTGTGCTATTTCAAGCAAATTTGGCAGTACAGTATATTCATCGATGATTCTAACTTCTTGTGAACAATTTTCTTGTTTTAATTCAAGCAAATTTGGCAGTACAGTATATTCATCGATGATTCTAACTTCTTGTGAACAATTTTCTTGTGTTCATTCAAGCAAACTTTGCAGTATATTCATCGATGATTATAGGTGTTCATATCTCATAATTGTACGTTGACTGGATTTACTCGAGCTCGCGCGTTAGTTTGGAAACAACTATCATCGATAAGTAAAAATTTTCATATTATCAACTTTGAGTTCATCAACTGAGATTTCATAATCTGTATCTAGCTGCCTAAGTTTCACACTCCGTTGGGTTTTCAATGTTGAATATGATAGGCTTTTATAATTTTTTCTTGGTAGTGTAGTATTTTTTAGCGCTTGAAGTAATATAATATAATAGAGAGTTTTAGATTGACTTTTTTTCTCCCCGCAAACGGCAAACGTGACCACGTTTTCATCGTTTTCCTGTATTTTACTTTACCTTTTACAAATCTTCACACCAAAGACAAATATTCTTTTGTTTTTCTACTACTTGGACTTTTTTGCGATTCTTTTTAAGCTATTTAGAATAATTTTTAAATGGTCAACTAACGTTTCACGTTTGCCGTGAACGTAAATCTAAAACTCTCTATTTTAGAAATCGTTGTCGCACCAAAAGCCTCAAGCAACAAGCCAAGACCGCAGAGAACGCCGGTACTTTTAGCTGTAATTAGTATATTCATGGTGCATTTTCATTTAATGACTTTACAAATTGCTCCAAGTTGCTTGAGATGATAGTTAGTGGAGAGCTATAGCCACTTGCATGAACCAAGAATAAATCAATTATAATTAAAAGTACCAACGTTCTCTGGAACCCGGCTTGGCTTGTCACTTGAGGCTCTTGGTGCGACAACGATTTTCGAAATAGGTGTATACAGTATGAGTGGACAGAGCCCTCGTTCTTCGCCGCAGGCCAGAAGAAACGCAGGCTCAGGGTACGAGATTGAAACCGGTTTTAAAGCTGGTTTTGTTCGTCCACAATCGTGGACGGCGGTGTATCAAAGGAAACGCTCTACATCGGCAGAGTCTCCCTCCTCCCCGCCTGAAAGAAGGAAGAGAAAGAGGAGAAACTCTGCTAGCAGGGAAAAGAGTAAGATAATAATAATGGGATTTTATATCCAATTCCAGTTACAGAAAGCTTTGATGAGGGTTTTGGTATCGAGACACGGAAAATTGAATAGATTTAGATTGTACTTTATAATATTGCTAAGGTTTTTTTTAAAATAAAAAACGTTTTAGTCGGACAGGCATAATTAAATAATAAACGCAAAGTGCTGTGACAATTTAAGGGTTTTCCTTCCGGGATTGGATGTGTTAACGTTCCTCGTCGATGCGTTTTGATTGGTTGAGAGTAACGTGACTATAAGAGTTTCCTTCCGTGATTGGATAAAATGTGCTTGTCCATCTGTTCTGATTGGTTCATGGCGGGGAAGCCATTTGAGAGTCAAGTTGGCGTGTAAAATGCGGTACAGTTTGACCTTTAGTCAAAAAAAAAAAAACACAAAATTGAAATCATGAAAATTGAAATAATTATTAAAATTGAGAATCGCATTCTTTTAGAGGTTACCGTTGAATAAAATAGTGCTGTGGCGTCGCGAAAGCACTAGAGTTAGAGGAAAGAGCAGACGCGTTTTGGCCCGAAAATTACCGCCAAATCCAAAGGTAGCCCAAAAGAATTATTAGGCTGACTGTTTTGATTGCTTATTTGTGTCATCTTAGGAAACCTTTGGAGGTTATAACATTGCAATCGGACCGAGCTGGATTCATTTTGCAGCCGATGAAGCAACAGTTCCGATTTGGAATCTCAAGAAGGACACCAACCTGACAGGGGTGTACAGCAACTACACAAATATTATCATTAGGTATGTATCTTGTTTATATAGAGGTAGATAATTACATCTTAAACTTTCAACAATTAATGACAAAAAACATGGCAGCGATGTTGGATGTTAGAAGTAGCTTGAAAACATTCACAAGAGAATGAAATGACAAAAACATGGCAGCCATGTTGGATGATAGAAGTAGTTTGAAAACATTCACAAGAGAATGAAATGACAAAAACATGGCAGCCATGTTGGATGTTAGAGGTAGTTTGTAAACATTCCCAAGAGAATGAAATGACAAAAGACATG